AAACACCCTAAAAGAAAAATCTCATGTGTACCTTGCTCCATGGCCTTCAATTGGACGTGGACGTTCCTTCCTGTGAAATTTTGGTTTCTCTGTTTTTTTTTCAAGGATAATATCTTTAATGATGGCCCCTGTTTCTGACCACTCCTTCTCTAGATTTCAGTGAAAGCAAGTAGTGAGTGGGCCAAGAATTGTGTTGATGCTTCCTATCTTATTTTCCATCTTGCCTCCAGCCTTGCGTTACAGTCATTAATCTCGAATGAAGTCATTGTGATTGATGATCAATTCATGGTAAAGCCTTCATTCAGAAAAGAACTGAGGGCATGAGGCAGGAGAAGGGGAGGGAAAAAAGGAGCTGAGGATGAGAGTTCGATTGGAGAGAATGTCGTATTGATAAAATAGTGATAGTATCCGTTTAGGAGAGTATCCGTACTACCTTTACGACAAACGAGGAGGGGGACGAGCATTCTTTGGAGGATGGCAGCCATATGAATCTCTTGGAGCCAGGTAAGAGATGCAACGTCTTCGAATCTCACATTACTCATTGGATTCATGATTAAGCTAAAGATACTGCATACTACTGTGTTCACTCACGGTTTGTGTAGAGTCCCTAGGAATGAGACTGGACTGAAAAAAAGGCAAAATGCTTGGGAAAGTACCACCTCCGTCGGTTAATTCTAATTTGAGGCCCTCAAATGCAGTTTATGGAAAAACTAGTTTTGACATTTTCTCATTCTGGTGCTGGAGAAGCGGTTGTGCCTCTGGAGTGGTTGAACGTGCACAATAGAATTTCTCGAGGAAGGCCAATTTCCAATGAGGCCACCTTTGTTAGAATGGCATGTGAAAAAAAGAGAGTGAATATTATTGTAAGTAGTAATATTTGTATAGCCCCTGATCCCAAAACACTGCAGGCAGGTGTGATACTTAGTTGATCTCAACCGAATTCTTTCCCTGTCCTCCTGAACTTGCTGTAGATCTTCATTAGGGCTTCGAGAAACGGAATTATGAAACACATTACCAGAGCTGCCAAAATGTTGGACATTCCCTTTCCTTGAGGGTGTGCTGTGTTATACCTGAATTATCTACAGAACACACGATTAGTAGCTAGTTGTCTCGACAAACGCCATGCCCTTTGCTGATTGTTGACGTGTTGTATGTTTCGTTCCGCAGCATACCATTAAGGCATGCAGTTCGCTATCGCACCCGCTACTTTGTTCATTTTAGACAGTAAAGAGTACAGAGTTAAATACTTAACAAGTTCTTCAACTCACACTGCCTTGTTCAACCAACATGAACGATAACAGTCAATAGCAAACTGTCACCAGCAAACTGTTCAGGTCGAACTAACTTTTCTATGAGAGCTAAGATTCTTTTTTTATTCAAACGTGAAGAGGTTCCTCTTCGGACCTCGATGTTTTTCATAAACTACTAATTGATTCTATGCAGAAGTGGCATTTTGCCAAATAATATCTATAATATGTGATGCCGAGAGATTCCGTAGAGGTGCATCATAGTATTATGAGATAAACTTATAGGATGGATCGCCGAGGAGGCGGGAGGGCGTTTTCTGGGTGGTTGGGACCTAACGAGTATTACAGGTCAGTACTTAGCATGTACTGTTAATGATCCTGCTTTCTTTGACATGCTTGCTGTTTTGTACTGTCTCGCAATTAACTTCTTCGGAGTATAGGGTGCTAGAAGTCGTTGTTAATTGAAACTGGATCACAGAGGTAGGTGCAATGAGCCACCAGGATTTGGGTCCCCTAAAATTAAAACCCGTGTCATTGTATTGCTTTTTGTGATTGGGGTATATGTCGTTTGACGCTGCTCCTCCCGCCGTCTGTTCTATGCAGTTGGCTGCTTCCACAGTCCGCCGGCCGGCCGGCCCGCGAGCGTGCACGCTGGCCGGGAGACTACTCGGCCAGCAGTATCGACCAAAATTCAGTTGTAAACAAGTGACAAGCGCCGGACTATGAAAGCAACCATTTGTAAGATGGACAGCTCGCCTAGATGATTCAATGTTTTGACCATGCTAATCGATGCAAATAGACAGAATACTATTATAGTAGGTCCGCATTTCGACGTCTAACAGTAATAGCGTCATTGATCGGGCGTATATCAGTTAGATGGGCAGTAGTTTGAACAATCAGCGTGGTTAGGAGGGCGAATTGCCTGGACGAGTTGTTCAGCTCAGGAAAAGCGTCAAATGGGAAGTGCAATGCGAGAGGCCGCGCCAAACGGCCACTTCCCCTTTAGGTGATTGTTGTTCAAGTAAACAGGTTTCGCCAAATGCAAATCCTATACAGACCGCCAAGTGCGAAGTAATAAAGAACCATTCTCTCCGCACAACTTAACAACGACTTCTATACCCTTACGCAAATTTAACGCTTCCTGTTCTCCTTTTCGATTCCTAGTTTTTTGTCGATTGGACTGACGCATGTTGAATCTGTAAAAGTTAGATCACATCTATCATTCGATGAATGATTTGGTTCCTCTCAAGCAAAGTCAGCAGCGATTTTACAATTTACTCCTTCGATAATCCGGAAAATACAGTAGAAAGGGATTTGCCGCAGGTGCAGGGAACCGCTGTCACATGATTTATAGGCACTTTCGATTACAGCGTCAGGCGGAGACGCTCGACGCCATTGCGTCAATCGTAACACGGTACGCTCGTAGACAGCTTCAGGGTCCGCGTCCCCACTGACGGCATCCGCGCTGGAAAATGTTGGCTCCGCTGCATAGAACTGATCCATAACTATGTACTTTCGGGACATTACACCATTTTTCAGTCAGTCATATGTTATTCGTAAACCTTCTCAATACTGCTAAACACCGCTCAAAAATGGCTGTTCAGTTCAATCCTCTCCATACGATTCCTTTTGTTTTGTTCTTTTTCAGACGACTTTTTTTTCTTCAGCTCCTTCAACCGCGTTAGCAGTCCCTGTTTCTTTACGCAATTCTCCATATTTCCACAAGTTTTTTGTCACTGCTTCCTTGTTTCCAAATAGAAGTTTCTTTATTGTACTGCTATACAGGCTTCGTGAGAAGGACCTTTTGCTCACGTTTTTGCACTTGTAGCTTAAGCTTCCTTATTATGTCAGTTTCACTGACAGTGACATTTTTTGTTTGGAGTCACCTTGTGCCTGCTGTAGAATCATTTTTGAACTTTATTTATTCAGCGTAGTTCTTAAGCATTCTTACTGAGCTTGTCAACACCTTGCACATCAGCCTTAGAGATGTCGTTCACGTGTCGCTAATCACATCTGAATGGAAGGGAGGGTATATCGTCTATTCGACTCGAGGCCTAATCTTACGAGGTTATATTTATTAACTTCAGATACGAGGTTATATTTGATAGCTTTACTGTGCTGTTCGGGTGCTCATGACTGCTGTCTCCAGCTAAGCGTTGGATTTATCGCTTTCAGCTTTCTACAAGTTCCACGATACCTCATCTTATCATTAGTTAACTGAACTTGCAGAAATTTATGTATGAGCTGAGCTGATGTGGATATTTCTTTGACAGGTTTCACAGTTCCACAGAGGTCGCCTTCTGTGTTGATGCTGAATAAGGGACCAAACACGGAAGGTTATGTGTGTGAGCGCTCACTGAGAGGGTCGATCAGTAAAAAATCGAGTTGATTTCATCTGGTGCTTATCAAACATGATAGGGATGCCAGTACTAGCTCCTCAGTCTTGCCCATGAAGTTGATAGCAGGATGCGTTTATGACGTCTGCTCCGTTCAAGAATGACTAAAATGTGGTATAACAGCTACAATGTGATATACAATTCGGTACGTAAGAGAAGTGCTCATACTGAAAAGTCATGATGATTATAATGGTCATGAGGTTCTCATAGTCAATTCTACTGAACTAGTAGGATGACGTGAGTTAAGCATTGCATGATATTTTAACCACAAAACTTTTTTCATATAGATTCTACATACATATGCTATGTTTACTAATCCCTCTTTCATTAGTTTGTGTGCATATCCAATAACAACAGATAGCGAAGATAGCGCCAGAATGTTGTTTCTGTCAATGCAGTTTTTCAGATTCTACGAAAACCCTTACTACAAGAGATCGTCAAGTCTGTGGGAATTTCTAGAAGATCGCAATGCTCTCTGAATTCGCCGTTTCTAGTTGTGCACTCCACCATTTGACATTCCAGAATTTTGTAAAACCTAGTCCGACACCCTAGAAAATTCCACTTGATTTTTTTGACAGGTCGTTCACGTACTGATCGTTGTTCACTCACGTGACATCATGAAAATTTGTGTTTTTTTGAATTCCATGAATCTGTCCTTGATCCGATTGATGATCCTTATCGCTATGTTCGGTAGACGACTGTTGTATGGGCAGTTATGCCAATGAAATTTCGAATTTGTTATTTCTATGGTCATTTATAAACATGCCTGTGTTCTCTAATTTGGTTCCGTAAAGATGGCATGTAGACGCAAAGGACTACAGTTCTCATGTTATATTTTTTTAAGTTCGGTCTACATTATTAAAAACATTTGATATATCGTCAGATACAATACCGCCAATCAGATCAGCTTTCGTTACACGGTCAGTTCTCGGAACTATCGGTGCCTCATTCTGCAGTCCTCCAGTAATTCTTCCTCCTCAGCAATTCTGTCCCCACGAGTCTTTCAAGCGGCTTTGATCACCTTCATACCAACGGACAAGAAGTTGAAACAGACATTCATTCTGAGGGATAAAACTTTGCATGACGATTTGCTGACAGCCGGTTTCACCACCGTGTCAACTTCAAGGAGACTGAAACAAGGTCACATTCATCATTCAGGCTTACTTCTTTGATGGAAGCCTGTTGAGTATTCTATTCATTTGGCAACACATTGCAAGGATGCGTCACAGAAAATGAATAGAAGAACAGAACATAAACACATTGCGTAGTTTCATGCACAGCATCAAATGTCACTTTAACAAGGGTGTCATTGGTGGCTTTGACATCCAGAATGAACGCTCAGAAAATCACTCGCACCGCAATCCACGACAGTTATATGTAGAGAAAATGGCAATCGCGTGGTTGGGTAGTAGCGAAGCGGTGCCTGAGTTGCTCAATCAAACGCTTCGTTACCACATAACATCCTGATTTCAAAACTATAGCTGTGTATGTATTCTAATGTGCCGAATGAAATCGTTGACGACATATGCTCTTCATTCTTCATATTCCCGTTCGGATCATAGAGATAAGATTATTTGTTGTAACGCTGGATCCTACAATGTCGACTTTGAACTTGTATTTTCCCAAAAAAATTTCCTGTAAGCATTCTGAGTAGTTTAAAGCAGCGGTGAAGAGAAAATAGGAAAAGCTCGCATCTTCCGAGACAGTATGTAATAATCAGATCTAGAAAGTCTTTCTCGACATGTTCTAAATACACCATACTAAGAGAGACGGATTTTCCTTCCGAGCATCCAAACTTTTCTGAAAAGGTTTGAGTCGGACTCCACTCTCCTCATTTTCAAGCGCTCTAGACCTAGATTCTTCGATCGAGAATCATACGAGGGCAATTCCTCAGGTCCTGTACGGTAATAGCGGAAATAAGCGAAAAATGCTGTACATACTCGACACTATCGATGTTGTCTTTCTTTTACGGGCTCCATACAGAAGAATTCCACCCAAAGGAGGACGCACATAAACCTTGAATAATCGTGACAACAGCGATGGATGTCGCAAGCGGAACGTATTTAATACGAATCATCACAACCCGAGCACCATCAGTAACTTTGGAGTTATGGTATTCGAAGGAGAGGCTTTGATCAACACGATCAGCAAATAAGCATATTCGGGCCGAAGAGTGTGTACGACAGCATTTTGGAAGATCATATACAAAAATATTGAAAAGAAGCGAGCCCAAAACACTGCCCAGCGGAACGCCACTTGTTACATGTCTGTTTGTAGAAAATGAATTTCTAACCTTGACCCAAAGAACTCTGTCACTGAGAGAAGAACTTATGCAACTCCAGAGATCACCCCTACATCGACCAACTTGCGGAGTAGTTTTGGGTGGCTGACAGTATCAAACGCCTCAGTAATATCATAGTAAACAATGCCAATCATATGGTGCGGGGATTTATGGCACATCCATTGGTGGACTGAATCCAGCACACTGGCTTCAGTGGATACCTTTTTCCGGGAACCATGTTGTTCATTAGAAGCGATCAATGAACACATCACCTCGATCTTTGATGAAACTTCCCAAGAGTTTACACGCAGTACTAGTTATAGAAATGGGTCGGTAATCAGCCAGTATGAGTTTTTGGATGCGGATTTTTATTGAGTGGCTCTATGATAGCACCTTTCAGGCGAAGGGCACATCTCCCAATCGTAAGGAAATGTTGAATACATGTCCTAATGGTACAGCAATTTCACTGGCGCAAATTCAGAAAACCACTTGAGGAATACCATCGGAAGTTTGCGAGCATGAAAATTTAAGCCTTTTTGCATGTAACAGAACGTCTTGTGTTAGTATCAAAGAGGAACTCAATGTATGCTTGGAATTGGTTTTTCTGTTAGGGATGACACAGTTATCTACAGTAAAAACAGAGAAAATGCCTAGAGACCTTCCCATTTGGTTCCGTCCTGTGCTCAACTTCCCTCGACATTGCATTTGCGTTTTGAAAGTGCACCACCCAACACAAGAATCGCTAAATCTGGTGTTAGGTTATTGATCTATGGAGCGAGTTTGGTAGCCTCATTGGCCTCTTCAAAGAAGGGTTCTTCCGCAGGGGCCGGTACCTTATCGGGATTGACCATTTGACCACAGACGTCGTGACGGTGCCACATGCCAAAACTTTCCATTTTCTGAACTTACCATTTTAGGCAGTCACAAAAACTTGGTTCTGTCTATGAACTCTGGACGTGCAACGGTTCATTACAATTTAGAGCTCACGTCATAGCTCTGCATGTTCCTCTTTCCAAATTCCGTTATCCTAGCAAGAAATTCTATCCGGAACATGGGACAAAGATGCCTGCCTCAAGGGATATCAGGTTCTCAGATATATCGGGTTTAGTAAAGCGGTGAGAAGAAAGAACTCAGTCCCCAGTCGAAGAAGTAGAAGTCCATAGTACCAAGCTCTCGAAATAGGAACGAATCTGAGTTTAGGAGTAGAATATAGAAGTACTGACTGGAACTATTGGCCTTGGTGCGCATCATTTTGGAAAAGAAGCATTCAGATGGCATTACGGGGATTTAAGGAAAATTTGTATGATTTGAAGAAGTTCCGTGGGGTCTGTGACAACCGTGCCGGGTACAAATACCCACTGCCTTCTGGAAAAGACTCAGCAACTGTCCACCGATCTCTTTAGAATGGAGTGTTTGGGTGGCCCAGGGGAGCTTAGATCCGCTAAAGCTGCTTTGGTGCAGTGCCCCTCGACGCTATGTCAGCTGCAAAAGTGCAACTATGGTTATTACTCAATCAAACACATACAAATGAATTTCCCAGATTTTTTTGTAAACTTTTTCTTTCTTTTTCTTTCTTTAGGGAAAATTTTTCCTTGTGGATATTAGGCTAATGAGGCGTTCCCGTCATTTTAACAATTCCATTAAGTCTTGCCCTGAGGTGCAGAAGAAGCAGCTTGACAGCAGCTTCATGAAAACGTTTTTAATCTCTTCTGAATGAAAGCCATTTAGCCCACGTTCACGTATGGGGCTGAACGCTTTTTCAAACACCGTTCTTCTCTTAGAACATTCTCATTTGAAATTTGAAGTTTTTTTTTCACAGAAGGCTGCTACTGGTATCTGACCAGCTGATAGTAGAAGCATATAGGAACTGATGGCTGCAAATACGCTTTTTCAACTGGTTAAGCGTGCAGGTTACCGCTAAATTACCTTATTTTGTGCATTTAGCAGTTGCTGGTGATGGAAATTGTGCAAGGCGTTGGGGATGGAGAAATGAGTGTCCCAAACGGTAGAAAAAAGTAATTT